TAGATGTCGAACCAGTCAATGCAACTGAAGCATTTAAGTATTCGAAGTGGATAAAAAAATGAATGAAGAAGTACAGTCTATCAAAGAAAACAACACTTGGTCACTTGTCGAATTGCCTTAAGGCAATAAGGAAATTAATGTCAAGAGGGTATACAAAGTGAAGATGAATCCCAAAGGGGAATTAACTAGACACAAAGAAAGGCTTGTAGCGAAAGGATTTCTCCAGAAAGAAGGAATAAACTTCGATGAATTTTTTTCACTTGTGGCTAGAATCGGAACAATCAGGTTGGTTGTTGGTCTTGCAGAAATAAATAGTTAAGACATATATCAGATGGATGTGAAATGTGTATTCCTAAATGGACCCTTAGACGAAGAAGTTTATGTTAAACAACCAGTTGGGTTTGTGAAACATGGCAAAGAAAGAAAGGTGTACAGGCTTCATAAAGCCCTATGTGGAATGAAACAAGCTTCAATAGCTTGGAATAAGAAGATTGATAGTTTCCTAAGGGAGAAGGAGTTTGTGAAGTGCACAACTGAACATGGAGTATATGTAAGAAGAAGCAATAGTGAATTTTTTATACTATGTCTCTATGTCGATGACCTAATAATAACTGGTAGCTGCAAGAAGGAGATCGAAGACTTCAAAGATCATCTCAGTAAGGAGTTCTAAATGTCGAATCTGGGTGACATTTCATATTTCCTTGGAATCGAATTCTACAAGAGTAGTAGAGATATGCATCAAAGAAGATATGCAAGATAAATTCTCAAGAGATTTGAGATGGAAGAATGAAACTCGACTTCGACACCTGCAGAACTAAGACTGAAACTGTCGAAAGATGCAGAAGAAGATGATGGCGACCCAACCCAATACAGAAGACTTATTAGGTCATTGAGATACCTTTGTCACACAAGACCTGACTTAGCATACAATGTGGGTATGGTAAGTAGATTCATGGAAAAGCCAAAGGTATCACACCTAGCAGCGTCAAAGAGGATATTGAGGTATCTAAAAGGAACTCTCGACTATGGCATTTTGTTTCTTGCAGCTGATGAAGGAAAATAATGCAAGTTAGTGGGATACACTAATACGAGTTGGTGTAGTGATGTTGAAGATCAAAAAACTACAGTAGGATATGTGTTTATGATAGGTGATGCACCAGTTGCTTGGAGTTCTAGAAAGGAACCAGTAGTGGCATTATCATCATGTGAATCAGAATACATAGATGCTTTTGTTTGTTCATGTCAAGCAACATGGATGGTGAACTTGTTCGAAGAAATCACAAGGAAAAATCACGGAGCAATTACCATGTAGATCGACAGCATGTCAGCGATCAATCTGGCGAAGAACCTGGTAGCACATGTTTTAAGCAAGCACATCGAAATGAGGTTTCACTACCTTCGAGAGAATGTAGTAGATGTGAAGATAAACTTGGAACACTACAGAACTCATAATCAATTTGTAGACATCATGACGAAGGGTATACAGGTCGAAGTATTTCGAAGACTAAGAGTTATGATGAATGTAGATAGCTTAGACACAATGAATTAGGTGGTGTATTAAATTATAATTCATAGTGTCGAATAATGTGTGTTAAAAATATTTGATTTAGATGTGTGGAATCAGTTTGTTACACACAGATTTGTTTTAGATATTTAGATAAGATTTGATTTAGGTATAAAATAGATAGATTTTATTTAGTTCCAAAATAGGTATTGTGAGTTTTGGATTAGGGAGAAAACTAACCTAAATCTATAAATAGAGGGAGTAACCCCTATTTTTGTAATCAAGTCAATTCATTATATTCACATAATTTACAGTTGAAAGTGAATAAAAAAGATTTTCACAGTTTGTGGGCAGAGAGAAATTCTGCAAAAAAATAATTGTCTTCTTTCTTTCTTTTCTTTTTATATATTTTCATTGTTATTATATGGTGATATCAATCCTGTTCAACAAGATTGATATAAATTCATCATAGATTTTGGTGGATTTCCAACATCTTGACTTCTTTTTTTTGTGCGTGTCAGAATTTCAATATATATATATATATATATATATATATATATATATATATATATATATATATATATATATATATATATATATATATATATATATATATATATATATATATATATATATATATATATATATATATATATATATAACAAATTGTTAAATTCATTAATTGTGTAATCGATTCATATAGACATATCCTTTGATTGTTAAATATTACTTTGTAGATTACATTACAATCAATTAGAGTGTAATAGGTATTTCATATAAACAAAGCCAAAGGGAAAATCTAAAAAATCGATTGCACGCCAAGTGTTTGATAATTTGCTTGTTTTAACTTTATCAATAATTTCATTGGAAATTGGTTAACAATTGTGATCATTATAAAACAATTGATTGAAAGATCATTGTATTGAGTTTTATCATCATTTTTTATTTCATTGTATGGTTTACGCATATCTGAATTTCCAATAATTAGTTCGGTTTAGACGACTTGTTTAATCTAGCCTTAATCTTCTGCTTGTCGTAGTTTTCATTGTTTTTCAAAACAGATTTTTAATAAGTGATTTTTATCCTTGGGGATATATTCACCCCCTCTAGATAAGTTGTCATTGTCTAACATGACTTACATTTCATCCATTTTGGGCCATTTTCTCCACCATGGTTGCAAAGTTGTTCTGTACTTCCAGGTTTTCTTCCTGAACTTGATGGATTACTTGATCGACTTTTTTGTTTCGGTTAACCACATGAACTGATGGGTTTCTTTTTTTTTTCCTTCCCTAGTCCTCTGTTGTTTGGATACTAAGGGGACAAATTGTTGGCCCTGATTGAGTGTGTTTTAATCATGAATTACCCCCTTCATTTTGAGTCGGCCTAGCCTTCTGGGGTTGTATAATCGATCAAACTTGCGTCTGAGGGGCGCCAAAGAAATCAGTGTTTCGAGTCATTTGATTTTCTAATTATTGGTAAATATGTTTTGTATTTTGAATAAGAGGATTGAATATAATACTCATTTTTCGGGTGAGCATGTTAGCCATTTCATGGTTGCTCTCATCCATCTGTTGTCTCATTACTATCACATAATTTATGGTGAAGGTTGGCATTGTTTAATAAGCAAATCCCACTCCTAATTTGGGTTGCATGGTTCAACGAGGATTACTTATAGCTAATCCTGATGCCAGTAGTTGTGAATATTTATTTGTCGCATTATAAGCAAATTTCGATGCATTCGTTTGCAACCCTGCCATCATTGATGTCAGTATATGCCATAAAGCCCTTCACAACTAAACATATGCATTGTGAAACTTGGGGCATAAGGCCTGAAATCAGTTGCCATAGTTGGTCTAGAAGTCTCAAAGAGACTCGTTGTTACTACCATAGAAATTATTGCCCCATCTTGAGCAATAGAAGGTTTGGCTGTCGTGTTTTCTGTGGAAGCATTCGTCTCAGTCGCAATCGCAGCGACTGTGCCCCCACCTGTAGTATTAGATTGTTGTTCTCTATTGGTATTATTGTTTCTTGGATGAATTATTCTAATGTATCTTGTATTTGTTTTTCTAGCGTATGTTTTGATTATCCCACCTCTCCTCAACCTCATACACATTTAAGACCTTGAGAAGTTTCATATATGAAGAACTTATATGCATATTTATAAAAAGTGAAATTTTTAAACAAAGGTCCCACTAGACGTTCCAATTTGTTTACTTTAGATTTCGGTAAACAAAGACAAGTTTGATTTCACGTAAGGGATTAAACTCAAAAAGATCTCAGGACGAATTGTGCAAAAATCATATGGTTGAAATGTATTTGATGATAATTGGAACTGAAAGGTATTGAAATTTGAATGCAATAAATAAAAACAATGAGAAATAAAGAAAATTGAATTTATAAATGGAACATAAATGCATACATTGATTCAGATCACTCGTTTCTCTCTAACACTTAGATACTTTTAGTATACATAATTTGTGTAAAATTACAGACCCCTAATCCTACAAATATGAACTACTTATATACTAATTCTAACACAACCGCGACCAATGGTCGACTAAGAAATGTCTGACATGTCTTTGTTTGCATGCATCTTTCATCTCTTATAAACTTCCAGGTGTCCCTCATAACAGTCTAATCTTAACCATTTGCATCTCATTTCGACAAAGTTGTATCAATATTTGTAGCATCAAAACTAAGAGCTCTTCAAATTTCACTAAGTTTCAAGGCTCGAGTATCTCTTGTCTTCGACAAAAACCATGATATCCAAAATCTAGTAAAGGTTTCAATATCTTCGACTCAACTGTAATTTCTTAAAAAACCATTTCGACTGACACATCCTTAGTCGAATCATCATATAACAAAAATTATTTTTTAAATCATTTATTGATCTTGTATCGAAAATATGAGATTACAATAAATCTTGGATCTCTATTCTAGGATCAAACATTATTTTCACTAAGGAATTAGGATTAGAATCTTTTAAATAAAAATCTAGTTACAATTTTACTTGGCATGGGATGGTTTGTAATTACGGTCTTAACAAAAGCTACTTTACCACAGAAATCCAAATTACTTGGTTTTAATTATTCCCTTTATTTCCTAGACTATTTTACAATTGAGAAACATTTATTTAACTACTTTCAATTGTTTGGCTAGTTTTTAAGAATATTAGTGTCTTATTTTTATTAAAGATTTACAATTCTCACACACTCAATTATAAAAATCATCCATACCAAGAGGTGGTTCACAAACCTCGATCCCATTAATTTGCATACACAATGTTTTCTTAAACAAAAAAATTTTGAATATGAATTTTGGAGAAAGCAATTCAGCGACAATACCTTATTAATGAAATAAAATTTAAATTAATTCAAATAATATCACGATAAAACAATATTAATTATTTATACAAATCATACAAGTTTTTTCTAATTAAACCAAGAAAATGAAGTACCAAAATAAATAAATTAATAAATGTCTAAACGATGCATGATTACAAACGCGAGAGATTAGAGTTAACTGGAAAATGATAAACCACCAAAGGAGCTCCCTTTGATTTTTCCTTGTTCTTTGGTTTCTCTGATGATGATGATGATGATTTTGATTGAGATGATTTTTTATCATAATCAAAAACTTGAGATGATGAGTTTGAAGAAGGGACAAAACAGTTGAAGAAGAATGACATCAAAGCCATTAGATTAGTTAGAGTTATTTACTAATTTGGAATGTTTAAGATTGAGGTGTGACTAGAAATTGAATTGGGAGGTTTTCTGTTTATCCAAGTGTTCAAAGCTGAAATGATTAAGTTGAGGTATATTTATAGTGTCATCATCATATCATAGGATATAATATTAGAAAAGTCCAATTACTTGGTGACCAAGGAGAACGTGAATTGGACCACGTTGATATTTGAAAAATCTTTTTTTATGTGTATTTTGTGTCTGTTTTGGACAAGTGTTAATTATGTATTCCAAATTACAATGTTGTTTTGTTTTTCTTTTTTGGAACTTATTTGGTGTTCCATGAAATATTAGACAAGTAAGAAAAACAATCATTACACAAATTAGTTTTCGGTTAGCTATGTAAGAATAGTATTCGCTCAGTTTCAAAATGTATTAGAACTAGTGTCCAGAATAATTAGTAAATAGTAAGAATAGTATTCGCTTAGTTTCAAAATGTATTAGAACTAGTGTCCAGAATAATTAGTAAATAATATAATTGGACAAATAGTAATTATTACTATGTTGAAAAGTGAAAATAACAGTTATTTTGAAATAAATTTTATTTGTTAAAATGACAGTTATGTTGAAACGGAAGGAATATTGTTGTAGTAGTTTGAAACGAGTTGATATCCCAACTTGTTTGACATGAAAATATTAAAGTTTTGAAAGGAAAATAATATGCAAACATTTTCCGTTGGTTCAATATTTGAAATGTTGAAAGGTGTACATTCAAGAACATGGACAGGTCGGGTTTTAACCAAGTGAAGCATTGCCCATATAATAATAAAGGGAAAAGAATAAAATAAAAATATAAAATTAAAGTTAGGGGGTTAAAAAATGGAAATGGGGGTTAACAATAGTAAAAAGGGGCGCTCCGCCCAAATGTGTGTTTTTGTAATCAAAGAAAAAAAAATGCATGAATGGGCTTGCATTAAAAAGTAAAATGGGGATGAGAGTCAGCAATTCAGACTGGGCCCAAAGCAATAACCCATTGCCTGTTAGGATCAAGTGCGGTTGCCCTCATGAGGTATACCATGTGCTTGCATTGGAGTGTGTTGTATTTATCTTTACAATGATCTGATGGTGGTGATTGAAGAGTGTACCATACGCGCGTTGGCTGATTTGCATGGGATCTGTAATAATAAAACAAGAAAAAATAAAAGGGTACCACTGGGGCTCGAACTCAAGTCCCTACAATCACAGGCGCGTGCTTCTACCACTAGGGTGGCTATACATCTGTTTATTAATACAAAACCAGGGATATTTATTTGAAAGACATTCCTAGGCCTGTATCATCTTCAACCTCGCGCCAGACCAATCAACATGATTTTTTGATCCTAATTTTTTGTGGATTATTGATTTTATGTTTTTTTATGGAAAATAAATTAATTTGTGAATTAAATAAATAAAGAAAATTAAAAGAATAAAAGATTAAAATAAAAAAAGGAAGTAAATGGGCCTGGTGGTGTTTGCTGAATGGGGGGGGGGTTTGAATATGAATTTCTGGGCCCAAGGTTGATGGCCCGTTTGACTTGCTTAATCCAGTGTGCACGTTGACTGGGGACACATGGTAGTCCTCCAAGGGAAAGGCATTGGATCTGGAGCGCTGATGAATTGCATGGCCAGATCTTGATGGCACACGGTGAACCTCCTGATGTGTAGCATGCTGGATTGCCTGTTGAAGAAAAATATGAACAAAGGTTGGGACCTGGGGATCGAACCCGGGTCCTTATGCATACTTCCACTCCCAGCTTGCCAACTGAGCTATCTGACTTATTTGTATATATAATAAAAACAAAATATAATATATAGAAAACAATGATTAATGGAAAAAAATGTGCTAAATTCAAATTGCCCAACCAGGGAGCGCCACGCATCATCTTCTTCCTCCCAACCGTCGTTTTAGCCCAAGATACCTTTACCTACGGGCATTGCGTTGTAGCTACAAACCTGCGTATTTAAAAAATTGTCCATAGGCAATATAAATGACCATGGTTGGTACCAATCAACTCGTCTCATCCTCATGAGTCTCATGGTACCAGAGTTAGCGCCCAATTTTGCCTGCATGAAAAAAGCCCTAAACGAGAATACAAAACCCTAGCCATGGCAGATTCACATACAGTTATAAAAAACGCAATTGAATAGAATGATTAGCTTGCAAACGTGATGATAAACATGAGTATGGAAATAAAAAACACTAAATATGCGTAGATTAATGAAATCAAAATCAATTTTTTCGACAAACCGTGGGAGATGTAGAACACGATTCTTGAGGTTTTAGGTCGTGTGAATGCTTGCCACGGGTTCAATGCGTGTCTGGGAATGTGAATTGCTTCATGGAGAAGCTTGAAACGACCTCTAGAGCAAGATCCGATTGTACTTTTTCTTCGAAAATTTGGAACTTTTTCTGCCTCTTTCATGACTGCTCCCCCTCTTTGCTTGCCTTGGATCTCCTTTGTATATGTAATGCAACATGTTAGGTTAACAAAAACGAATTCAATCTTGCCCATTATGAAGATTTGATTTGGTCTTTCATGGTATATGATATCTTTCCAAACTTGCTTCAATTCAATCTTTTTCCACCAAAATTAGCCTTGCACAAATTGATTCTCAATTGACAGCAAATAAGATCTTCCTTCAATGCAAAAATCATCCCTAAAACATATTATATGATTTATTTGATTTTATTTGAATTTTAAGTGAATAAAAATTAAAATAAATTAAATAAATAAATAAATAAAGCATGGAGGGTCCCATAGGTCGTGGACTGTGCTAGGAATGAGATGCAATCTTAAAAAGATGGGCCCATGTGGAAAAAATGCAATTTTGATCAATGTTGACTTTTGACAATTTCCCAAAAATTGCCAAGTTTAATAATGCATATCTCTCTCAATGTTTACCCTAGGAGGGTGTTCTTGGACTTTTTAGAAAGCTCAGGATATCCTCTAAGCAACCCTTTTGGTATCATCTCAATTGATTCTTCCATGTTCATGTATTAAGCTTTGACCCAAAAGGTGTTTTTGTTGACTTTTCAAAATGACCTTTAATGTCAAAATTCATATCTTTTTGTGAGTGAATATTTTGAACTTGGGAGATGAATATTAATTGTAGGTAATTGCATCCTCTTCAAAATGAGATTTGGATGGGTCATATCTGATAAAGTATGGGAAAGTTATGCTTGGTCAAAGTTGAGTTGACTTTCCCTACAAAACCCTAATTTAGCAACTTTTGGGTTTTGATGAGTTGTGAGCAATCCTTGATGAATCATGATAAACCCTTGATCAAATGATGAATGATACTTAAAAATGAGGATGTTGACCAAAAATCTTGAAGTTTGACTGTATATTGGCCACAATTGACTTTTGACCTAGCACAGTCGATTTTCAGGCCTTTGAGCAATTGACGGAGCAAACTTCTTCTGTAAGGCTTGAAACTTGACATGGATGATCTTGAGAACATATTAGGACAATAGTGAGCATTTAGGATCCTTTGGATTCAATCATCTTGATGAAAAATGAAACCCTAAATTGAGGTAGACTGCTTTAGGAGGGAGTTTATCTGGTCAACTCTTGGACTTCCTTGAGCAATTTGAGGACCTCACTTGACATGTATTGAAAAATATGGGAGGGAAAATTTTGGGATATAACAGTCCTTCACATGTAGGAGTCTATTTGCCCCTGGGATCACCTTGTGGAAATATGATACGCTTGATTACCAAATCACCAACCTGATATACCTGACGTCTGACCTTTTTGTTAAAAGCTTTGATCATACGTTTTTGGTACATCTGACCATGACAGACAACAGTAAGCCTCTTCTCATCAATCAAATTCAACTGGTCAATTCGAGTTTGAATCCATTCATCTTCATTCAGCCCTGCATCTTTTATGATTCTCAGAGAAGGTATTTGGACTTCAATTGGTAGAACAACTTCCATGCTGTATACCAAGGAGAAGGGAGTTACCCCTGTTGATGTGCGTGACGTGGTACGCTAACCATGGAGAGAAAATGGTAACATCTTATTACAGTCCTTGTAGGTCACTGTCTTTTTTTGTATGATCTTCTTGATGTTCTTATTTGCGGCTTCGACAACACCATTCATCTTTGGCAGGTGAGGAGAAGAATTATGGTGCTGGATCTTGAATTGCACGCACAATATGGTGATAATAGTATTGTTGAGATTCATACCATTGTCTGTGATGATTCTCTCCGGGATACCATACCGACATATGAGATTCTGTTTGATGAAACGGGCCACAATGTTCTTGGTAACAGAAGCGAAATAAGCTGCCTCAACCCACTTCGTGAAGTAGTCAATGACCACCAAGATGAAACGGTGTCCATTAGAAGTTGTAGGTTTGACTTCTCCAATCATATCGATGCCCCACATCATGAATGGCCAGGGAGCAGTCAAGATGTTTAGAGGAACTGGAGGCACATGTACTTTATCGGCATAGATCTAACATTTATGACAGGTTCGTGAATGCTGATGGCAATCTGCTTCCATGGTAGACTAGTAGTACCCTGCCCGTAGGATCTTTTTATCCATCATGTGCCCAGTAGAATGGGTGCCAAAAGTTCCTTCATGTAGATCATCCATGATCTTGTCTGCCTCAACTTTGTCTATGCAATGAAGTAAAGTAGAGTCGTGGTTGCGTTTGTAGAGAATGCCTTTACTGAGGAAGAACTTAGCAGAGAATCTCTTAAAGAACTTCTTATCATTGACTGAAGCTTCCTCTGGATACCCTTGGGCCTCGAGATACCTCTTAATTTCATGGAACCAAGGCTTGTCCACTACTTCTTCAGTATCGATCTCGTGACAGTAAGCTGGTTCATCCATCCGCTCAATGGTGATTTGGGGAGCCTCGTTACCCCGCTTGAGTTTAAACATGGATGACATAGTGGCTAGCGCGTTCGCTAGTTGATTTTACTCTCGTGGAAAATGCTCGAAGGTAATTTCCTCAAAATGTGG